TGAGCTCAAGCTCTACAGCCTTGCCAGCAGCAACTGACACGCTCCAGTAAATGCAGCCAGGCCAAAGCACTTCCTGCTATCACCAACACAGGTCACTGAAGTATGAAGCTGCTGGCAGAATTTCTGACCTGATGCATGTAAGAATGGAAAATGCCACTGTGCTGGCTGTGAGGAGAAGTTGCCTTGCTTCTTCTACTGGCTCACAATGCCACACACCAGAACCAGCAAGATACTGACTGAAAACTGATTATCCAAAACAGAGCAGAATGCTCCTTCAAACAACTCCTACACAACAGAGTGTGCAACAGAAGCCACGTGGGGGCAAATTGGACAGCAAGAACTTTTGGAAGAGGCTAACATTAACTCGCACTGGGATGTGTCTGAGCAGAAGCAGTTAAAACATTTACTGTAGATCAAGAAAAGACAGCTGGACCCAACGTACAGAAATGTCAGCTACCAGGGAGGAAGTTGGGACATTTAAAGAATTGTGAGAAGCAGGTGAGGCCTCTAGGTCCAAAGGCACCTCTGAGCCTCCTGTCACCTTTGGTGGCATCCAGCCATCCCCTGAACAAATGAACAAAGCCTGCTTCTGTGCCAAGTCCAGAGAAACCAGCTTTGCATGCTGGGATCAAAATCTTTCACCATGCTTATGCCAGATTATAGATAAAGTAAATTTCTATTTCCTGATTCGTGGCTGAAAAATCTAGCTGGTTTGAAGCAACGCGAGCTAATTCTACAAAACTCACACAGGCCTGGGCCTCAAGAGGATTAACAAGCAGTTCTCACTCCAGGGGAAATAAGTTTCCCCAATTCCCAAAGTCTGGCTTGGTCCAGACAAGTCCTAGGGTAAATTTGTGCCAGGCCAATTTTCTCGCTGCAGGTTCAAACCTCACAATGATATTCATGATTGGGAACAATTTGGGAGAGACCTGGAGGCATGAGATTTATGTACTTATGACCAGATTTATATCACAAAGTCTTAGCGAAATTTAAACTAGCTCCCAAAGGTGGATTGGTGGGACCCTATGAGACTTCAGTGTTTCCTCACTGAGGGCCACTGTGTTAAACTTTAGCTATTCTTTTCTGAGAGGCAATGTGGGAGAAGGAGAAATATGAAAGCAACTGGATTAATAACTAGAATACTGTAAAGGAAACAACGAGGCTAAATATAGTCTGAAAACACTTCCTATCCCCCTTCACTGTGCAGCAGAAATTGTCATATTCATAATGCACACATTTAAAGAAAATGGTTTCTTTGTGAATATGGGGGTGGGAGGAACAAGGGCCCATCATTTTTCCTACTTCTTATCTGATACCACAGGTAAGTAGAGAAAGTAACAGAAATGAAAGCCCAGGAATGAAAAATCAAAGAGAAAAGTGATCAAGAAATTACAACTCTAAAGACAGCAAAATGATATTAAACTAGTTTGGGCAAAGAGAGAGGTGGTGCTTTTCAGGAGTCACTGAAATGATGGTAGAAATGAGAAGCAACTGGCGAGTAAGGCCTTCCCAACCCATTTTATTTACACCATTCAATGCCACTCTCTAGGAAAACCCTCAGACACCTGCTTTGAGATGTCCGCCCTACCTCTGGGCAGATCGGTCCTGGGGCATGTGGCCAGAGCATGGAGAAGATGAAATCACTCAGAAGCTCATTTTTCTGCTTGGGCCCCAAATGAATATAAAACAAAAACAAAATTTTAAGACAAAAGTCTCCACGTAGTGGACACTTCAGTGTCAAGTTGAATCTGGCAAATTCCAGACCAAAGAAAATGTAGAAAGGGTCTCTTTCTGTAATGGACCCTTCCAGGACACAGTTTGCAAGCACTGCTCTTTAAGCCAAGCTCTCTGAAGCAAAAGGGAAACCATGTGTGATGCATGTCTAGGTCTTGAGTCAGAAAATAAAAAGGGTCAGAATGTGGGTTTGGTCTTTTCTAAGCCACAGGAAGGCTCTAAATCAAAGCACCTCTTATCCAAAAGGCTGGAGCGAACGGACGCACCGCACTATCCCATCTCCTGGGAGTCCTGACCATCCTGACACATCTAAAATATCTACTGAAGGTGCTAAGGGGGAAGGCAGTGTTGGCCCAGGTGAGTGGCGAATTCTCCAGGAAAGGAAGACTCTCATGAAGGGAGCTGGGGGTTTCGGGGGATCTTGCAGACCCCACGTCAGTTCTGTGCTTGCTCTTGCTGCTGTTTCTCCCGTCAAGCTGGGAAAAGGAAAAGGCAAAGAGATGAATCCCACTGAAGTGATCCAGGAGAAGACTTGGTGTGCAAGACAGTGGCTTTCGCAAAGAGGGAACTGAGGCCCGGCTCTACAATGGAGGAAAAAAATGACTGAGATTTCCAATCAAGAAATGGTGTCAGGTCTACTGACTCATACAATGGTATTCCCACCTTGACAGGAGACTGGGTAACAGGCAGGTAGGAACATGGCAAAGCCCTCTATAAGTAGTGCAGGGGGTGACAGGCTTTGGGATAAAAAGTCACACTTTAATTCAAGTATCAATTATACCACTCACTGACAGAGATCTATTACTGGCTTTATAATCCCTTAAAGTTCTTCTCCATCCCAGTTAACTTTGCAAAGCCAGCTCGAGTCGAGGTGCTTCTAGAAACAGGAATCAGGAATCTATTTCAAATCATCCAGCTGAGGTCTAAACCCTGACCCAAACCCTTTCCTTGAGTTTAGGCTTCTTCTTTAAAATAATAATTGCTACACTAAAATCATTTATGGAGCCCTACTAGTGTTTGTAAATACTAGAGACATGTGTTTATAAATATATTTTATAGATAGGTTGATTGATTAATGGTAAGGCTAAATAATGCGGGACCAGTCAAGAGTTATCCTGTAAAAATGCTGTGGTCAGAAGTTATCCATACAGCAGAGTCAGAAGCTAAGAGCTAGACCAGAGATAGCATCTGCTGCCCTAGTTAGTGAACAGAATGCAGCTTTCCAATTTAATTCTGGAAGAGAAGTTTCAAGATCACAAGAACATAAAGAGACAGATGCCTTGCAGAGTACGTTGGGGGAAGTGAGCAGAAAACATAGGATCATATTTAAAAGAGGCCAGAGAAGAAAGAGAGCAAAGGAAATATGAAAGTAAAGACTTGGTACTCCAGATGCCTTAAAAAGTAAGACAAGGCCTGCCTAAGGGTTAAGCCACCATCAATGAGCTGCATGAGGCTGCCCAGAGAATGAACTGTGCTTTCTGTCAAACGGATGTAAAATGGCTAGGAACCGAACCTTGATTAAGTCAGGGTTGTAGTTTTTAGCCAAGAACATACTCTTTTTTTTTTTTTTAAATGTTTGTTTATTTTTGAGACAGAGAGAGACAGAGCACGAGCTGGGGAGGGGCAGAGAGAGAGGGAGACACAGAATCCGAAACAGGCTCCAGGCTCTGAGCTGGCTGTCAGCACAGAGCCCGATACGGGGCTCGAACCCACGAACCGTGAGATCATGACCTGAGCCAAAGTCAGACACTTAACCGACTGAGGCACCCAGGTGCCCAAGAAGAATATACTCTGATTGACACCCAGCCCCTGGTTGATAAGGAGAAAGCTCAAATTGCCAAATAGAAAGGTATTCATTTTTGGTCGGGCCCGAATTTACTGGCCCACTTCATGGCCCAAATTTGTAAATGGAGAAACTGAGGTTTATCTTCCTTGGGGTTCTCAGAAAGCCACATTCCAAGCCAGCCTTCTCCAGGATTCTACCTTTGTGCTTCCCTCTCTCTGTGTCTGATATTTAGATAAAGTTGAAAGGGGGAAGAGAGGAGTATTTCTGAGTCAGCCACAAGAAGAGCCACGTGATACCAGGAACAGGATGCCTCTGTTCTTCATGTCCCTGTTCCGACAAGACTGCACTAAAAAGCCTGGTCTCTTGGGAGTCTTCCCTGAAAACCCCTGAACACCACTAAAGTCCAACCAGCAACCGCACAGTCTTGATTTCTGTCACTTTACTGCCAGTATATCTCAGGCTCGCAAGACTAACTAAAATATCTTCCATTCCAGATTTTGAAAACCAGTCTTTAAAAAAAATAGTTACGCACTACTCGGTAGTAAGGATTGAGATTAAATTAAGGATCTTAGCTTGGGGTCCACAGATGGGTTTCAGAGGGGTCTGCAAACTTTCCGCTGATCCTCGAAAGGACCCAAACCACTGGGCCAGCTCAACCAGGACCAAAAATAAAATGGCAAAAATTACAAAAAGACTGTCAATTAACTACCTCTCAACCACCCACGGATTCCTTTTTTTTCTTCTCAAGTTTCTGTCCTTTCTGTTGGCCCACACATTCAGATGTACGTCTCTTATCTTACCTTGGATAGCTTTTACCAGCATCTGCACAAGCTCTCGTTGGGATTTGTGTTTGCAAATGGTCTCTGAATGTACATATAGCAGATGTCCACTGGTTCTTACTCCAGTGAAACAGATAGCGACAGAATGTGATAGACAGTGATTCTTAAATTTCAGTTCCCTAACTCCAAGGCTCTTCAATTTGGCTACCACACTGGACTAGTCAACGGGGTAAGTCTCTTCTGTGGTTAAACAATTCCATTAACACAGTAACAATAGAAGTATAGTTCATTGAAGAACATCCCATCCGCAAACCATGCGACAGGAAGGCTAGAAATTGCAAGCAATGGGATGCCAGTGAATGCTAAAATTACTGTAATTCCATGAGGCCAGGAAGCACAGGATTTACGTTCAGAGAGACGGCTAGCTCTGTGACAATTTTTTTCAGAGAGTGTAAGATCCAAGTGATGTTTAAGCACGTGCTTCGTCAAAGCGTGGAATGGGGGCTGCATGCCTGGCAGAAGCGCTGTCGCTGAAACTGCCTTAGGACCGACAGGCCACCCCGGAGGCCGTCTCCCGGGAAACACATGCGGAGTGCAAGGCCATACCAATTGTGCTGACGCCAGCTTTAGGATGTGGTGAACAAATGAATGGAGGGGAAGGAGAAGATGAGGCGGCCGGTCTTGTGTATAAAATTTCTCACCTGGAATTACAGAGATAGTTTTCAAAGCTCGCAGAACCCTGAATGTTCTCAGCGCTGAGACATTGCCCAGGTCCACAAACTCTGTCACATATCTGTAGTAAGGGAGGTCACACACAGACACAAATGACAAACACAGGCACGAACACAGAACACCGAAGGGAAAAAAAACGAAACCACAACAAAACAAAAAGTACAATACGTCACGTCAGGGCCCTAACCCCACACCTAACACCAACCCCGGGCCATCTTACCTGGGATTACCGAAATAGTTTTCAAAGCCCTCAGTACCCTGAAAGTGCGTAGAGCTGAAACATTGCCTAGGTTTACAAACTCTGTTATATACCTGCAGAATCAAACCAAAGTTAACTTGTAATGGTACCACCGGGCGAGGGTTTGACAATGGGGGGAAGAAAGGGTCTTACATACAAGCTATGACTTCATTTCTTTTTATTGGTGAAAAAGAAAATTTCAAACCATGAACACTTAATTTTTTTCCAACTGGGCAAGGAGAATTCAAAAGAACATCTGAAAGAACTGATACATCCGGGAGGTTCCAGGGGGTTTACTCTCTTAATCAGCATCGTACTGTGGAGAACCCGATCAGAGGGACTACTCTGTCCACTCATTACGTTTAGTAAAAAGGAAGGCTGGGAGGTAACAAAGGCTCATGTCCCCAAGCTTTGCGAACAATTTCTTAGAAAAAGGAGACACATTTGTGCAGCAGAATCCCCATAAAAACAAATTTACATTAAAGCAACTCCGTCATTGACAATGGCCAACCGTGCCTAAATGCCTCTATACAGGACTTATCCAGGAGTTGTATGCGAATCTTTGCAGTCGTGCCTACAGATGAAGCTGTAGCCTGTGACATACAAAAGCAGGACTCAGGATCAGGGGGTCAAAGCAAATAGTGTGTTAAGTGCCCATTTTGTCACCAGCTCTGTGCCTATCAAGGGCACTTAAATTTTTAATGAACACCAATGTGTACTCATAATGTTGGAAAGCTAGAAATTGCCTTAATATAACAGAAAGTCAAAGTTCCGGTTTCAAATATCCAATGGATACCATTCATTCATTCATTCATTCATTCACATTTTCTAGTTGACATACATCTTTCTGATGCTCAGACCCGTATATATACAAACACATTCAACCTTTCACACATCTGCATGCACACACGCAGCCTATACAACACCCTTATACCCTGCTATGCCAGAGAGTGCTTTCCCAGCCGGAAGATTAAAAATAATAAAGTCTGTTATAACTCTTCTATCATCAGCTAAATTTCCCAAAGAGATACATGTTGTTAAAGCAACACAATTACCAAGGGCAGCTAGCAGACTAGTGGGAAATTATACTATTATCTGGCAATAGTTTGAAGTTCTGGTCAGCACTTCCTTAGGAAGTAACCAGTTTGGATATCCTGGCTCGTGTTTTAACTCTCAAATGTGCTCTGAAGTCCCCACCACCTGGGCCAGCTGCATGAAATTACATGTGCTAGAACACCCCGGAAATGGATTTTCAGCTTAATTAAGGTTTACATCTAAAACATTTCAAGTCTTCACTAAGGTTCTCTAGCAATAAGTGTGCAAACCTCGGTCTGTGTTACGAGGGGGAAGGAGACATGAGAGCAAGTCAGTGGAAAAATCGCTTCCTACTTGCGGTTCTAGTGGTAAAGCCTTGGCTTACCTTCTCCTGGACAGACATGCTACCACTGCCAAGACCGCCGAGCCCTAACGAGCAAGAATCACGGGGATGAGCCTGTATGGCCTCACATGGTTACCCATCAACTCTGTTTATAGCTGGTCACACACGCACACTTACCAACACAGCCAGGCATGCAGCCACATGTCCACAACCATTCCCAGAACATCAGTCAATAAGGAAGGCAGACAACTTACGCCATCATGATGACACTGAAATCTAACCAGTTCCATGGATCCCGTAAAAAGGTAAAGCCATCTATGCAGAAACCTCTCGCAATGATTTTCACTAGTGATTCAAATGTATAAATCCCTGTGAATGTGTACCTGTCAAAGAAACGGATAGCTTGAGGTAAGTTCTGAACAGGCAGAAACTCGACATGAATCTTTTAAGGTAATGGTGCCTGAAGTGTGGCTGCAACTGATGAGAGACAAAACAGAATGGGTGCAGCCAGTGCAGCAGGAAGAAAGGCAGGGGGAGAAAGGGATGCTTTGAAGGAAACTTACTGAAACACAAAACCAAGTACAACTTTGGAACGCTATACTGGGTGCCATCTAGTAGGTGATCATTGTGAACCAGGTGAGGAGGCCCCAGAGCTATTTTTAATTTTAGACGAGTCAAAAAAAAAAAAAAAGGAAACCTCATGTTGGAGAAGAAGGCAGTGCCATGAGGGACTAACTGATGGCACAAGATGGCACTGGGGCAGCAGGCTGAAGGTGCTGGCCAGCACAGCCGAGGGTGGAGGTGAAGGGCAGTAACTTCCAGAGCACATCTGCTCTTTCTAGAGTTCACTTCTAAGGATATTTCCTAAATTCCACATGTTTCCTCCTCACTCTCTGTGAAGTAAAGAGTGGGGGGAAAAACAATTTTTTCCCCTTAATGTTTAAACTGTGCAAAGCAAGATTCAGTGAGTAGAAACCCTTAATACAAAGCAAGCAGACAAATAAATAAATGAGCTACTTACTCCACATTCTTCGACCATTCAGGAGGGTTACTAAAAGTCATGAATACACAGTTGGTCAAAATAGTGCACATAATGATCATGCTAAATACTGTAGAAAAGAGTCAAGGGAGAATAACAAAAATCGGGCCTGTTTTCTTCCTCAGAAAGTAAACGCATTTCACACTGGGTATCATGAGAATTAAACTGGTAACCTGAAAGGAGACAAAGCACAGAAGACAAGGAAAAGGCGAGGTGATAATGAAAACCACCGTCCACACAGAATGCCACCGTATGTGTCCACACCTGACCAGAGAGCTGTGGGTGGACACAGTGGGACGGCCACTCTCTTCCAAAAGGGCTGTCACTGCTCTACTCCTTTTGGGTAAAATGCTCCCCGCTCTTGCCACTTTAGCCTCAGCTATGGAATAAGCCTCCAAATACCTTCATACGCAGTAACCAGAAATCTACCAGTCTACCAGATGCCCAAAGTCATCAGGGGAGAAACTACATTAAGTCGAATCTGTATTAGTCAGTACTCATTTATTAATTTATCTTGCATAACTACTTACTTGAAAATCTACATGCAATTAATGACTTATGTTGAATTTTACTGGAAGTACAGTTATGGACACAACGTTATGTTAGCTTTGGGTTTAGAACGTAGCGGTTCACTTTTTTCCCTCGTTCGCCAAAGGGCCGAATTGCCCTTGGGGGGGCAACGCTACAGCCGTTATGTGTGGCATTTGCATGATTTGGGAAACCAGTTATGGCCTGTTGGGGAAGGATTTCAGGGACATCTGCACCGTCGTACCCCTAAAAATTAGATAATGGGGTAAATTCATCTGATCATTTTGAAAGTGCCCTGGAATGTTTATGGGTAACAAACACTTCTGTTGCCTTTTCAGTCCATCCAAGATTTTTCTCAGCCCTTTCTGTTCTTGTCTACTGAGAAAAACTCCTGTAGGTCAGCATGTGAGTTATTCAAACTCAAACTGTCACTTGAACAAGCAGAGAAGCCATATCTCATTTGTTGCTAACTCACTCTCTCTTGCTAATGGTATTCACCATCTTCATTCTGCTAACAGTTATAAAAACAAAAAATACTTCTTACAGCTGGATTTTTCTTCACTATAGTTTGATTTTTCTTCCAGGAATAATAACAGAAGACAATGTCTCCTGATCCAGCAAAAAGGGAAGAAGTCCACTGTGCATTATTTATTCCTTATAAACCTTTAGATTTCAGAACTATGTTACTTGTAAACCACAGATTTCAGAATCAGGCTGCTAAATTCTTAAGTGTTAATAAAATGTGGCAAAAGCTTAGCAAACCAATTTGCCAAAGTTGTAACTACTGGCTTCCTCATCTTTCCTGGAGGACACACTCCCCTTGGGAGCACAGGGCTAAGTACTGACACATTAAACACCAACCATTAAATTTAAAGTTATGCAGAGTAGCTAAACCTATCACATAATTTTTCATCTGTCAAATGCTCTCCTATATTCATAAGATAAAAAATGTCAGGCCACATGAGTAAATTGGCATTTTTTGTTTAAGGGCAGTAAAAATACCAGAAAGACTCGTATCAGTCTTACAATCTAGATCCAAACCTCTGTACTGAGGAGGCTGTTTAATCTGAGAAACTGTCTCAGACACTTTCCATACTCGTTGCTCAAGAAATCAGAATTATTCAACGCAGATCTCTAAAGCATTCATTCAACTATCTGTGCTCAAGAAGCAGCTTTTCAAAAAATTCTAACATCGGACTTCCATTAAGAACTGAATCATATACCTCAGGATAAAATTACTGAAGTCTGAGCACTTTTAAAAAGTTACAGGTTACCATGTTAATTTGTCTGTCTTCATGATGCCAACAAAATTCCAGACTCCCATGATATCATCCTAGGAAAAAAGAATTTGCTGGAGCTCTGCTCAGGATCCGGTGGAAGTTCACTCGCACTTCTGACCGGGGAATTAGTCTACACTAGTGATAAAATATTTAATATACAATTTGATTGTCAAAGTTCAGAAACATATACCAGTGAGCATGCAATTCTGCATTCCACATTTGCAAAAAGGATATGAATGTATCAAAATTTTAATAGCTATTCTTCTTATCAGGTTAAAAGGACTTAAAATGTACAAGGCAGGCGTGGCACTAAATCTGAAGAGAGTTTTCCCTCTGTTTAATACTACAAAGGTCTGTGGAGAAAGAAAAAGAGAAATGATTAAAGCATGGGAATTAATCACCACATGAAACAACATTTTTCTAGGCAAGAAATAAATACACTCAAATGTACTCATACTTTTGACTTCCCAATTTGGTTTCTAAGGCAAGAAATCTTAAAGCTCCCTATCTTTCTTTCCTTCACCTCCCTCCCCTGCCCTGCCCCAGATTATATACATAATACACAGTGGGCACTGTCTTAGTTTCATACATTTCTGTAAATTTCTTTCCTTCTTTCAGAAATAAGCCATTTGAATTATACTGGGGCTATATCTACACCAGCTCTGGACAAGATACTGAAGTTCACAAATATTCCTTTACTCAACGAATGTTTCCTAAGTCCCTACTATGTTCCAGACAATGGTCTAGGTGCTTGGGAAACAGCACAAGACTACCATGGTGTGGGGAGTTTATATTCTAATGGGGAAGACAGACAACAAATAAAAAACACAAGCGTGGTAAGTGCTGTGGAAGAAGGAGGAAGATGAAGGAAGAAGAGACGCAGACTACTGGGGTCAGGGGATGAGTAAACAGAGAGGTGACAGTTTTAAAGGATGTGGTCAGGGTAAGCCTATTGAGAAAAAAGATAGAAGCAAAGACTGGAAGTAAGTAAGAATAGTTCTTCATTCCACCAATATACACCTACCAAGTCTATCTGCTTTTTTAACTTGAACATTTTTTTTTAACGTTTATTCATTTTTTGAGAGACAGAGACAGCGTGAGCAGGGGAGGAGCAGAAAGAGAGGCAGACACAGAATATGAAGCAGGCTCCAGGCTCTGAGCTGTCAGCATAGAACCTGACGCGGGGCTTGAACTCATGAACTGTGAGATCACAACTTGAGCCGAAGTAGGACGTTTAACCAACTGAGCCACCCAGGTGCCCCAATTCTATCTGCCTCTATTTTCAGTCTATTTAAGAGCCTCTATTATCAGTCTTATCAAAATCATTCAACCATATTTCCCGCCACGAATCTTCCTGTCTGGCCAAACTAGTACATGTTACAGTAACTCATAACTCTGGCCTTTGTTCACACTGCTTGTCCCACCTAGAATGTTTTTCTTGTCTCATGAATTAAATTCAATCAAAATACTTTTGAGCATCTACTTTGTGTGAAACTCTAGGTTAAAAAACTATATAAAATTGTACTTTTAGAGAAGACATATATGTGAACTAGTAATTATGATGCAGGGTAAATACAAAGTTCATTAACAAAAATATGGGTAACGTATGAGAGGCAGCGGGAGGGAGAGTTTTTTCTCCCTTTAGGTAGAGAATGAAAGGGAAGACAGTGAGCTGGATGGTGTTCACAAAGGAAGGTAACTAGTATTTGGAAGGCTGTTTTTTGTCCCCCTGTGTTTATTTATTTATTTTGAGACCGAGAGTGCAAGCGGGGGAGGGGCAGAGAAAAAGGGAGAGGGAGAATCGCAAGCAGGTTCTGTGCTCGGTACGGAGCCTGATGCGGGGCTCGATCTTCCGAACTGGAATGACCTGGGCTGGTATCAAGAGTCAGATGCTTAATTTGACGGAGCCACCCAGGAGCTCCTGGAAGGGGTATTAAAGGATAAAAGGGGAAAGGCTGGCAGGTAAAGAGCGAAAGGTTGGCAGGGAAAGGGAACAGCATAGTATGTACGGAGGCTTAGTAGCACACAACTGTGGGTTGTTTTCGGGGGAATGACAAGTAATTCGGGGTTGTGGGAGGATCAACAGGAAAGGAGTGCAGCAGACTGTGAAGCTGGAGGTGCAGGGGTCCCACTAGACTGAATTCCTGAGGAGACTAGGCCAGTGGCAAGTACAGAGCACTAGCGTCTCACTGTGCAGGTGAGAGAGCAAATGGTCAAATGTTGGCCATTTTAAGTAGACCTTTTAAAAAAGGTAGGGTAATACATGCTTGTAATTGCATACAAGGCACAGAAGACTTAAGTTTTATCTCACTACCCAAAGATAAGCTTTGCTGCTTATACATCTTTTTTTGTATATCTTCTCAGAACTTTACTGTGTAAATACAAGCACACAGATATAGCCTTAAAAAGACTCTCTTTCTCTCTTCGATGGGATTGTACTATAAATACTCTTCTGCACCTTGCATTAAAAAAATGATCCCCCACAAAGAAAAGCCCAGGACCAGATGGCTTCACTGATGAATTCTACCAAATGTTTGAAGAATTAATACCAATCTTTCGCAAACTCTTCCAAAAAAACAGAAGATGACACACTTCCCAGCTCATTCTGTAAGGCCAGTATTGCCTTGATACAAAATTAGACAAAGATATCACAAGAAAAAAAACAACTCTAGACTAACATCCCTTATGAATATAGATACAAAAGCCGCAACAAAATACCAGCGAACTGAATCCTGCAGCATAGAAAAAGGATTATCTGACTCGATTTCAGCTCAGGTCATGATCTCATGGTTCATGAGATTGAGCCCTGTGTTGGACTCTGAGCTGACCGCACGAAGCCTGCTTGGGATTCTCTTTCTCTGCCCCTTCCCTACTTGTTCTCGCACATTCTCTCTCTCTCTCTCAAAATAGACAAATAAACATTAAAAAAAGGATTATACACCATGATCAAGTGGGATTTATTCCAGAAATGCAAAGATGTGAAAAATAAATGTAATGCAACATATTAATTAAAAAAAGGACAATAACCGCATGATCATCTCAACAGACACAGAAAAAGTATCTGACCAAGTCCAACACTTTTTCATTTTTTTAAGTGTTTATTTTTGAGAGAGAGAGAGAGAAAGAGAGAGAGAGAGAGAGAGCAAGAAAGGGAGGGGCAAAGAGAGAAGGAGACACAGAACCCAAAGCAGGCTCCAGGCTCTGAGCTGTAAGCACAGAACTTGACATAGGGCTTGAACCCATGAACCATGAGATGATGACTAGAGTTGGACGTTGAACTGACTGAGTCACCCAGGCACCCCCAATGCTCTTTCATAATAAAAACACCCGACAAACTAGAAATAGAAGGGAACTTCCTTAACCCGATAAAAAGTATCTGTGAAAATTCCACAGCTAACATCACATTTAATGAAAAGACCGAAAGCTTTCTCCCCAGGAGCAGGACAAGAGAAGGATGCCCCTCTCACCACTTGTAGTCCACACTGTACTGGATGTTCTAGGAAAGGCAATTAAGCAAGTCAAACAATTTCTATTTTCAGATGAAGTGATCTTGTATACAGCTAACTCTAAGGAATACATAAACACAAAACTATTAGAGCTTATAAACAAGTTCAGCACAGAGTCAAGATAAATATACAAAAATTAGTTGTATTTCTATACATTAGCAATAAGCAATCCAGAAATTAAGAAAACAACTCTATTTACAAGAGCATCCAAAAGAACAAAATACCTAGGAATAAATTTAATAAAAGAAGTATAAGACTTGTACACTGAAAACTATAAAACATCATTAAAAGAAATTTTTGAAACACCTAACCAGTGAAAAGACACCTTGTACTCAGGGATTAGAAGACCTAATGTTGTTAAGATGGCAATATTCCCCAAACTAATCTACAAATTCAATGCAATGTCAATCAAAATTTCAATGGCCTTTTTGGGCAAAAATTAACAAGTTGAAAAATTCATATCCAATTCATATAGAAATGCAAGGGAATCAAAAGAGCCAAAACAATTTTGAAAAGTAAGAACCAAGTTAAGGACTCACACTTCCCTGTTTCAAAGCTTACTACAAAGCAATAGTAATCAAGACTGTGGTATTAGCAGTGCACCCAGGTGGCTCAGTCAGTTAAGCATCTGACTTTGGCTCAGGTCATGATCTCACAGTTCACGGGTTTGAGCCCCGTATCGAGCTCTGTGCTGACAGCTTAGAGTCTAGAGTTCCCTTTGGATTCTGTATCTCTCTTTCATTCTCTCTGCCCGCCCCCCTTTCTTTCTCTCTCAAAAATAATAAATAAACATTTAAAAAAAAAGACTGTGGTACTAGCATAAGGAGAGCCGTATCTATCAACAGAACTAAGAATTCAGAACTAAACCCATACATGTATGTTGATTGATTTTTCAAGGGTGCCAAGGCCATTCAAAGGGGGGCAGCCTTCAATAATCAGTGCTGAGACTATTGGGTAACCGCATGCAAAAGAAAGAATCCAGACTTCTACTTCACAGCTTATACAAAAATTAACTCAAAATGGATTGAAAACCTAAATGTAAGAGCTAAAATGATAAAACCCTTAGAAGGAAACAAAAGTGTAAATCTTCACATCTTTGGATTAGCGATGGTGTCACACTTGTGACACCTAGAACACAAGCAACCAAATTGAAAGGAGAAAATTGGACTTCATCAAAATTCAAAAGTTTGTGCAACAAATGACACTATCAAGAAAGTAAGCAAGCAAACAAACAAACAAACAAACAAACAAACACAGAATGGGAGAAAATATTTGCAAATTGTGAATCTAATAAGGATGTAGGAGCCAAAAGAGAAAAGGACTCTTAGGACTCAACAGCAGTAGAGAGACAATCTAGTTTTGAAACAGACTAGAAAAAGTAGACAAATGCACAATAGACACACAGAAAGATGTTCAACATCATCAGTTATTAAGGAAATGCAAATAAAACTACATGAGACAGTTCTTCACACCTACCAGGATGAATATAATGAAAGACAACAACAATACAGAAAAGACCAAGTGCTGGCGAGGATGTAGAGAGATTAAAACCTTCATGCATTACTGGCGGGACTGTAAAACAGTGCAGCCACTTTGGAAAACAGTTTGCCGTTCTTTAAAAGTTAAACACAAAGTTACCATATGACTCAGCAATTCCTCTCCTAGGTATATGCCCAGAAGAACTGAAAACAGGTATTCACACAAAAACTCATCCACAAATGTTCATTAAAACATTATTCAAAATACTCCTAAAGCAGAAACGACCCTAATGTCCAACAATGATGAGTGAATAAACAAGATGTGGTCTATCATTATATAATGTGATATTATTCAGTCTTTAAAAGGAA